TTTTTTCATGAAAAAAGTGTGCCTTTGCACAAAAAAGGTTGAAAAACACTGGACTAGAGAATAAGATCTCATTGTAGTTCTCTTTATTTATTAGACTAATATACTTGCCTATCTCAGAAAGATGACTGAGGAGTGTTCACTGTTCAATAAAGACTCAAAATTAACCTTAAGGTAAGATGGGCAGCCTATAAATTTTGTATATAAATAAAATAAATAAATTAAAACAGTTAAAAACAGATACAAATAAATATTGTTATAAATAAATACAAAATAAAAACTTATGGGAGAACACACTAACAGCCTACATAAAGTGTAATTGTCCTATGTGTTCCCAGAGATTTCCAAAATGTCAGTAGAATCGTGACTAATCTTACCTCAGTGGAATAATGTTCTAAGAGTGTGTGGCATGAAAGAAAAGGCCCAACTTCTGTGATCCATCAGATGAAACTGTTTAGCAGATGAAACTAACAACACACATGATGGAGAAATTTACATCTAGCCGTAGTTCCCAGAATTCCTCATGTCTCAATTCTCCCCCTGCTCATATATAATATCTACATGAAGCTATTAGGCTTGTCTATCTTTTTCTATGTTGTTAAGTTCCTTTCTCAGTTTCTGAGGCTGGGTGGAGAATAGGTTTTGACTTAATCCTAGAATGACTGAGTGGCTTTAGTTTTAGGACAGCCCACCATGTCATGGAATTTTCCATCAATAGTTCAGGATGGATTGGCACTTCCTGACATAGATCTTGCTTGCATCTTAGAAGTTCTCCTGGACTCTCTTGGACTTTCTCAAAAAAGCAGGTGGCAACTGTGGCTAGCAGTATATTTGCACAAATCTATCTTGTGTGCTTACCATGTTTATACCTGGATTGCTCACAGTCCTTCATTTCTTGTTCACTTTCTGTTTGGACTATTGCAAGGCACTGCACATGGACTCTCTTTGATGATGACTCAGAATCTACAACTGCTCCTTAATAAGATTTGACAAAGCAGACATTTCCAGACTTCTACTATGATATCAAATGGGATCCAGAAGGTGTATCTTCTCTTTTACAAGTCCTGCACTATGGAACAACATTATCCTCAAATTTAGGTGGCTCTGATGGCTTTTTGTAAAATGAAAAATCTGGAATTTATTTCCGTTTAATATTGGGCAGTTCTGTAATGGTTAAGAGGGACTAGCTTTGAATGTATTGTTTTTTATTTATTTATTGTTCTTAGCTCAATGCTAACCCAATTTAATAATTTAAAAGTATATGTTATACTTTTATTTAGATCTCTATATTAATCAGATTGCTGTTTCTTTGCTTTGACCACAGCAGTTCAGCTTTCTTCTTCATAAATTACAGCAAAATATTCCCCTGAAAGCAAGCATTAGCTAGCCTGATTAAAAAAGTTTAGGAAAATTAAAATAAGAATGGACTCTCTTATTATAAGTAAATGTCCTTTAACACCAGGAAGACCACTAAAGGTCATTCATGACCAGGCCTAGATTTAATGGCACCCGAGTAGCGAGCAAGCACTGCTCAATACACAGTACACAGACAGATCTGAACTAGAACCTCTCCATTCATCTGCTGTATTATTCTCATCATCTCGTATTTGAACAAACTGCACCTTGTGAAATCCTACGCTCACGATCGGAAAACAACAAGAGACACCGGGCCTAATCACGAGATTTGCCTATCGATTTTTCGCAGCCACCAAAAATAGCTGCCTCCAGCTATTTGCCGTCTGGGCCTGAACAAGGAAGCAACCCAGCGAATGCAAACTGAGATAGCAGAGTCTTGCAAACCACTCACCGCTGCTGATGACTTCAAGCAATGCTCTCTCCTCCTCATTCAAGTCACCTCTCTTTGGAAGCGCCATCGCCTATTTTATGTGTATTCTTCCTTTTCCTCCCCTCTTTCTCCTCCCTGCCAACAGTCATAAAATGGAGCACGTTCGCACTGGAAACCGCGGCCGATCAGCTGGGGCAACTCCGAAGCTTCCTCCGAGCGCTTTACGAGAGCCTTTCCGCGCGCGCTCCAACCTCATGGCTTGTACCACCTTGTCGCCGGGGAGAGAGGGAGGTTTAAACGCAGGCTGACATGCAGAGGGTAATAATGCATCTCTTTACATTACAACTGAGAGGCTTGCTCGGCAACGCATAGGTATGCGAGGAACGAAGTAAAAGTAGCGATTTAGAATATACTAAAATGGCCAACCCGTCCTGACTGTGATCAATCACCCCCTCTATGGTTAAAATGGTGCTGCCTAGCCGTGAAGTAGGCGGTGCTCAGACTGCTTTTAGGTGTCAACGTGCTCGCCCTTCACTTCTCCATTGTGTGCGGGCGCGCTTGTCTTGTGTCTAGCTGCTTCTCCTTAGACCAGAGCCTCTTCCCCGGCAGAGGTAAGCGAATGTTGGGTTGTGGGGAACCGGCGCCTTGAGCAAGAAAAGGGCAGAAGGCGAAGAGGAGGGGAAACTGAACAAAAGGAGTTTGTGGCTGCTGCAAAGCACAAAGAGAGAGAGGGGGCAGGAGGCATAATTACTCTGGCTTTAAAGGGCATAGAAATAGAAAGACTCTTGTCTTTTCCGACAGGTTTGACTCCTTAGCTAATCAGTCAGCCAGGCTTTGGGCTGAAGGCTTTCGAGCAACAGCAGCGGCGGGAAATCTTCGGAGGCGAAAGCAACTTTGTGTTGGAAGAGGTGTACGTGCGTGACTTTAGCAAGGTGACACGGGACAAGAACATCACGCTGGGTTGGAAGCAGCAATGGGAGTTTTTAAGCGTTCATTTGTGCAGCTGCTTTTTGCGGGAGGGCGGGCCAGTAACTGTCTTTGCGTGGGGATTTAAAGGCCTCGTAATAGGGATTTGGAGGGAAGGGGGAAGCACAATTCGCGGTCCCAAGACTGCTTCCAGCTGCTTGCTAAAATACAACACGAAAAAACGTGTTGGGCACCGGAGTAGCACTGGAGGGAAATCAAAGACGTGCCATCTTTTTCTTATCTCTTTTGGGAGGACACCCTGCACTTAGTGAAACGCTTATAAACGAAGGAGGCGTTTTGATATTTTGTAATATCCCAAAAGCAGGTACGGGTTGCTTGAGGAAGTGACAGCTTTCTGATCTGCAGTGCTACGGATCCGATGGTTGGGAGTATTTAAAATCAATCCGTGTCTCTCAGCGGGGTATGCTGTTTTATTACAGAAGCACCTTTGGCATCCAAGAAACCTCAACCAGACAAGTATAAATTTCATTTGTGTGGCATTTTATGATAACCTCAAATATTAGATTATTTATCTGACAATGCATTCCATTTGGGCTCAATTCTAAGTTGTCATGAGGGTTACATACTCCTTCCAGAAAGAGCTCCTATGAAATTTGGAATGTAATTCATTAATGTACAGGTGTTTTTAACTATACGTCAAAATGATTGATTTGTGGTAAAGGGGTAAGTTGAGGGGGAATAGCATGTCTTGAAAATTCCTTGTACCAAATAAACTTTTTATCTCTAACTTTGAATGCTTTAAAAAAAAAATAAAGTTGCATCCTCTGTTTAGATTTCTGTAGGTTTGTTTGAGGGCATTCAAGTTTATTATGTGTTCTTATATCTTAACTGAGTAGGAGAACACATATGGCTTAAAAGTAACATTAAAATTATTCACAAGGTTTACTATTCCATTGAATGATACTGTAGCAATCAACCAGTAATGTAAAGTCAGGTATTTCAGATTTGAGGAGATTGAACAGACCCAGGGTGAATCCAGATAAATTAAGATTGATTTATAAAATTTGAGTTTCTTTTATTTTTTCTAAGAGTTAGCAGAAATTCCATTCTCCAGTTATGATTTATTTAGTTGAATACCTTCTGAATATGACTTTGAACTCTTTTTTAAAATTTAAAATGTCACAAATGCAATGTTAAAACTATATAATTTAACATTTGGTTTTACTAATATGGTAAAACATAGCTACTTTTTAATACATTTGTAATTGTAATATTCTTGCTTGGCTTTTAGAGATTTTTCTATACCTTGCAAATCTGAACAGCATTTTATACTATTGATTGTGTTAGGCTAATTACACAAGGTTAATAGTATTTTCAAGTAAATACACTTCTGCATCCAACATCCAGCATCATGTTTCAAGAATTCTCAGGGAGAGTTGCAAAAGTGGGTAGAGATGAGGGAAAGAACCATCACCCTTGCAAATAGATATGATTGGATGTAATTCTCTCCAAGAAAATCTGTGTAAAGCTTTCTGGATCAGGTAACATCCAGTTTGTGTAGTGGTTTAGTCACTAGGCTAGAGACTAGGAAACTTAATTCTGCTTTCAGAAATTAACACTAATTTAAATGGACACACATAGATGCAAGGATCTTCTACTTTGCTCTTTTTTATTCTTTGTTCATACTAGCAACCAGTTTTTAGCAATTATTATCAAAAGTGATTATCAGATCCAAAGGAAAAGAGCTAGAGCATCTTGCTGTTCTCATCTGAAAGTTACCAATCCCCTTTAATAAGGGATTATAGTCTTTTCCACTTTGTGGCTATGTTTATCTGGAAACTATAATTTAAGATCTGTAATCCATTACAACTAAGATTTATATTATTACAGATGAATTTGTCAGGTGATAATTTACTACATTTTGTACAGTATTTGGTACTTTATAATTCTTAGACCATTATTTAATAAAAAAATACATCATAGTTGCATGAATACGTATAAACTAGGTTGCAGTGAAGTTAATATTATTCATAGGCCGATTGATAAACATGTTTGATTTGGAACAAATGGAAAGTTTAAAGTTGTCATCTATTGTTTCCCCCCCCTAATATTATGAAAAGGCAATCCATCATCCTGTCCTTAAATTCTATATTAAACTACACAATATAGTGTCTGCAGATAAATGCAATTTCTGCTATTGTTTTAATCTTTCTCCATTGTGTAACATTTGACAAACATAAGAGTATCTTTTTCAGTACTGCTTCCTTTTCATTGTCGTTCTTTTCAAAAGATACAAAATATTATGCCACTGAAGATTAAGGGATAAAATTGTACAAAGCAGTATAGGCATCTATTTTTGGCAAGCACTATTTAGTAAATACAGTAATTATAGCAAATATTGATTCAGCTATAATGAATTATATGTCTAGATTCAAATTAAATCATATTTGGAATAGGCCTACTGCAATAAATAGGACTTAAGCTACTCAGGACCTATTTAAAGTATATTAAATGTAAGTACAGTTTGCTTCTTAAGTCAAAAGTATAGATTTAATGCCTCTTTTTCCCTTTACAAAGTGTGCATGTTTTACATTAAAAAAGCACAAAATTAGTGGACTTGAAATAGACACATTAAAATAGCTATTCCTGTTCAGAATAAAGCCATAGAGAAATAACTGGTAAATGAAGAAATCTGTCAGTTAATTCCCCTCCTCAAATAATAGTCTTTTACACCAATAAAATATATTTGAAGTTAATGTACCATAAAATGCATTTAATTTATTGATTATCTTTCCTTGTAAAAAGATGTTTCAGTTGAGTGCCCATAGCATAAAAAATAAGTTAAATACTGGATAAAAATGTCAGTCCTGTTGCAAAAATAAGGAATCAAAAGCTGTATTTTGTACAATAATGACTTTTTACCCTTCTGTATAAGATCTTTGTTTTCAGCTCTAGTTATTATATCATGTATATATTACATATACCCATATATAATAAATATTATATGTATGTTGAAGAAATGAAACAGATGCAGAAAACAGTTTACAACTATTCTAATAAAATATAGAATTTTGGGTTTTGTTTTGTTTTTGAATTGAAGAAAGGAAATGATAATCTCTTACATCCTGAATAATCAGTGAAACTTAATTATGAGTTCGGCACAGATCAAAATGTTTTGAAATAATTATTCATGCCATGCCTAATGAGGCTGTGGAATATACTTTCACAGACTTTTTTGATAACTTTGAATTGGCATTGTGTAGAGCAGGAAAAGCAAATTTATGTAGAATGAGGTTATTGTTATTTTTAAGAGCAATATCCTGGGTGAAGAAGTAGACAATTTGTTTTACATAGTGATACTTCCTTTCTTTGGAATATACTTCCAAGCAAGGTTTTCAGTTCTGGAATGCTACATAGTAAAATAAAATGTCCCTATAAACTTCTTTCCTTTGCTTAAAATTTAGGCTTAGGCTTATGTTTACAGCTGAATTAGATAGAGCAAAATTAAAATTTGTGTATTGCTTTTAAAAATAAATTGCAGGGACTGGTCCCCTCTATAATTATCAGGAGCCCTGGATTTTAAATTTATGGTATATTGTTTATATTGGGGAAATTGTTGTAAGAGATACTACTCTAAACATTTCAAAAAGGCAAAAATCAAGATCCAAGAAGACTAAGCAGTTATTTTCATTATGCAATTTTATTAATTTAAGGATTTTAAGCATGTTATTACTATAATTTTTTTCAGAACACAAGAAATCCAGCTTAAAATCTAAAATTTAACTCAGATCTGCCCATGTTGAAATAAATAATGGTTGTATCCTTAAATATATTTAAATAGTAATTCTGTAGCACTTGAGGATTATTAAAATTGTATAATGAAAAATAAAATCCAAACATGCAACTATTATTAGAATGTAGAAAGTCTATTGTGCCATCAAATGTTATGAATTGAAATAATTCCAATAATTTACATGGATGGAAGGTTTCCAGTCATACTTTGTCTTCTTCAGGACCTCCCAGAATTATTGAAAACTTTATGAGCCATGTGGAAACTGGACAAAGAAGCAGATATAAATTTCATGACTATTGTTATGTTAATTTGTCTTTGAATAGAATCCAGACAATTTTGAATAGCTAAAAATCCATGCCACTTAAGTGCTATTCCCTAGAAAGCTTCATGGTTCTATATATATAGTCATAGATCTCTTGTAGAACTACATATAGTTCTCTTAATAAAAATTCAATAAAATATATATGCATTGTAATTATTATGGATCCAAAATTGTTATTAAGTAAGAATCCAGTTCAATTCCTTGTTTTGTCAATATCAGTTTAATAAGGAATGTATCCTAGTAGGCTTCTTCAAATTCATCATGAATGTTTGCCTCTAGGTTTTTCATAGACTTTCATCCTTCAGATGTTTGCATTAAGCATGCAAATCCAACAAGGAAGCCAAGTATCTTCTGAGAGATTCCAGTAGTGAAATGGGGCATATCAAGAGAACTTTGATATCAAAAGCATTTTGAGAGAATATTTAGATATTCTCTAACCAGAGCTTATTGTCCCAAAAATAGTACTTAAGGAAAAAGTTTTTTCAGACTGAAGGACAGGGGTGGGTTCCTGCCAGTTCTAACCTCTTCTATAGAAGAGGTTCCACAAATCAACAGTGCCATTTAGAACTGGTTCCAGCTCCATCCCCGCCTGTCTGCACATCATCAAGATGAAGAGTGAGAGGAGGAATTCTGGGAATTGAAGTCCACAAGTCTTAAAGCTATAAAGTTTGATCACCCCCGGGGTTTTTTTTCTAAAGGGTTAGGGGTGCAAGGGTCTTGTAACTTGACAGCTTTAAGACTTGCAC